ACCGATGCTTACAATATGGATGGGTTGGACACCAATGGTATACATAAGTGACTATAATTTAGTCAAAACGGCGTTCACTGCGAAAGACAACGCTTTGATGGGAAGAGTGAGAAGTGGTTTCGCTTTGGCACAGATCGGCGCCCATAAGGATATCCTTCAGACAGACTACGGCTCCGTTTGGGCCAGTCTTAGACGGGTCTCACACTCGGCGGTCAGGTATGCAATCAGTGATAACAATGATAAGCAATTTTTTATTATCAAAGCACATGGAAAACACAATTTTTATTTTTTCATTGTAATTTTTTTTATCAATAATTATTAATGAATAAATTACAACTTACAATCCACTACTCTACCTTGCCCATGGCCAATCTTAATAAAATATATATCAATGGATAGCTTATGGTAAATGTAAAACACTAGCACAAATCTTAATTCTGCCTGGTGGGGTTTAAGGGGGTTAAAAGTGGGTTAAAGTTTAGTGTAAACATATAAGCAAAGTTAAGCGTAAGTTCATGGTAGGCGGCACGGTAGCGCTGTGGTAGCGTCGCCGCCTATAAACTAGATTAAGCTAGAGGGCCCGGGTTCGAGTCCACCTAGCCACTAGAACACATCGGAAATTTTTTTATGTTTATCAAATGTTATTTTATAAGCTGTAAGCATTTTTTACAATGTGTTTGTGCTATAATAGTCATTTGTTTACAAATTATCTAAACAAAGCGTTTACACAATGAATTGTTTCAATGTATTAAATGTTGTTAATCTGTTGAACAGATTAATTAGAAATAATTATAAGATTAATAATAGTGCAGTTAATAAACATGAGACTGATTTGGCGAACAATTTATTTGAAATGATCAATAATTATGTCGATAATCTAAATGACATCGAAGATGGTGAATTAGAGGACGACTCTAATAATATTGAAAGTGATTGCAATATTGAAAATGATCATAATCTTGGAAATGGATCTGATTATGAGCCATCACCACAAAAAGTATTTATATTATCCTAGCCACTAGAACACATCGTAATTTTTAATTTATATTTAATTAGCGACCAAAAGGTCTGGATTTGCCATTTGAACGCATGCAACAAATTGCTGATTATTTTAATTCACATCAAAATCACAATCGAGAAAAAATGGCAAAAAGATTTTCATTATCTGGTGCTAAAGAATTGTATCGAATTAAAAAATATGTTGAAGATAATGGAAATGAACGCCAAAAGTGGCAAAGAATTGAAAATTATGTTTATGATAAATATAGGAAAGCGAGGGATAATTTCCTACCTGTTCATTCAATAGATTTAAATAGGTGGGCCTTAGAATGCGCTCGTAATAATGAAATAATAATTAAAGCAAGTGATAATTGGGTAGCACTTTTTAAAAAGCGAAATAGAATTGTATCAAGAAAAGCAGTGAAAATTATAAGCTATAGAGAAGTTATAAATCGACCAAAACTTGAAGATTCTATTAATAAATTCAAAAGCGAGTTCAAGGAGGCGATGGTCGATTATTTACCCAGGTAATTACGATGTGTTCTAGTGGCTAGGATAATTTCAAATACTTTTATTTTACAGTGATGTGTGCAACACAGACCAGACAGGTGTCAATTATGAGGTACACTCACTGCGGACACTGTCTGATAAAGGAGAAACTATGACCACATTATGTGTCGATGCATTGTTTGCCTGCACTCATAGTTATACCGTTCAAATAGTTGTTACAATGGATGGAAAGTTTTTCCCAAAAGCAATGATCTGTTTTCAAGAAAAAAATGGAGTTTTGGGACCAACTGTTAAAAAATCACTAATTACTTGTGATAATGTTGTAATTACATGTAGTCATTCAGGAAAGTTAACAAAGTCTCACGTAAAGTGGTGGTAAGTTTTAAATAGCTATTTGAGTATCCTAGCCACTAGAACACATCGTATATTTTAGGTTTAACAATGCATTCTTACCTGATATGCCAAATAAATGCCTTTTATTATTGGATTCGTTTGGTGGTCAAAAAGACGATACATTATATATTAACGATTCTGGTAAACAATTAAAGCGAATGACAATTCCACCTCGAACAACTGGTAAATTACAACCTTTAGATGTGGGTGTTTTTAGATATTGTAAAGCTTTTATAAAACGATTACAAAATTATGTTATGTTAGAAAATATTGACATTAAATTAAAACATAGAAATAACATAATAATTATGTGGTCTTTAATTTTAAATCAGTTTACTTGTGATGTATTTAATGATTTTTTTAAAAGATCATGGTATAATTTAACTGATAATCATGATAATGAGAATATAGATATAATTAATATTAACAAAATGTTATTTCAATTAAATTCTATACAATGTGTTTCTTGTGATAAAACTGCTTTTATTTGTTGTGCTTATTGTAAAGAAAATTTATGTTTTGATCACTTTTTCATCAAATATCATTATCATAAACAATAAAATTATTATTTATTAAAATGTTGTTTAATTTTTAAATAAAAAATGTTTAATATACTCAAACATAATGCAATTTATATTATTTACAATAAAAAAATTTCCGATGTGTTCTAGTGGCTAGGTGGACTCGAACCCGGGCCCTCTAGCTTAATCTAGTTTATAGGCGGCGACGCTACCANATAAAAAAATTTCCGATGTGTTCTAGTGGCTAGGTGGACTCGAACCCGGGCCCTCTAGCTTAATCTAGTTTATAGGCGGCGACGCTACCACAGCGCTACCGTGCCGCCTACCATGAACTTACGCTTAACTTTGCTTATATGTTTACACTAAACTTTAACCCACTTTTAACCCCCTTAAACCCCACCAGGCAGAATTAAGATTTGTGCTAGTGTTTTACATTTACCATAAGCTATCCATTGATATATATTTTATTAAGATTGGCCATGGGCAAGGTAGAGTAGTGGATTGT